CAAGAAAAAGGTGGGGGCTGCTTTGGATGGTTTTGCTAACACTGGGCAATATTTAAAAACTTACTAAATTGTGATGATCTCAGCACAGGAGCGAGCTCTGGGCTCCTGTAGCAAAATGAGGACAGCACAGAAGTACCTACAGATCAGAGCCAATTCCTCCTGTTTCAAATACTGTGCTTCCCTTACCAAATACTCCTTCAAGATAATTGTTTCCATGGTCTAACACAGTGTTTCTTAACCTTGACAATTTTAAGGCATGTGGACTTCAACTCCCAGAATTCCGCAGCCAGCAATGCTGGCTGTGGAATTCTGGGAGTTGAAGTCCACATGCCTTAAAATTGTCAAGGTTGAGAAACACTGGTCTAACATTACTCAATTGTACCACTAAAAATAGACATAGCAGTCGAAATCTCCAACCTGGAACTAAGCAAAGGCTGTTCTTGTGAATAAGTGCTATATAAACCTCCATAGATAAGTGCTATATAAACCTCTGTGGCAGATCACTTGCATGGCACCAGAGAGGTCCCACACTCGGTTCCTAGCATCTCCAATTACCAGAAGCTGTCTTTCAACTCTCTGAATGAGGGAACAAAAAATGAAATTTTCATGAAAAATGCAGCCCTACCTTCTGTTGAGGATTCTGAATTGCAAGAAACTCAAGCAGTCAGATCACTTCACTTCACTGCTCTCCAGCCCCTTTCTGCTCGGCTCTCAGGTCCCACCGCTAGGGGAAGACGGCCTGAAGCTTTGGGGACTGCTTCCCGCCCAAGGAGAGATTACTGAGAAGCAGAGACTAGCCTTGCTTCCATTTAAGGCAGCAACTTATGTCCATAGAATGAGTCTTTGATTCAAGAGTATATTTTCTGTCAAACATTTAAGATATAAGATCAGGGCCTAGAAAAATAATTTGAATGGCCACTTTGAAGAAAATCCAGTGATTTTGGTAGGATTTCCTTCCGGTTAGGAGTTCAGCCTAATTAATTTCTGCCTCTCACGTACACAGAAACAGACACAATACACATGTTCTTTCATACACGCAAGCACACATAACTCATTTTATTGCACAGGGAAAATTAATGTAAGAGGGGAACTATTTAACAAAGACTTGCAAGCCTGTCTCATGGGACTGATACAGATTTTAGAAGTGACGGGTATTATTAGAGAAGGGCAAAACAATAAGGGTTGCAGCAAGAAGGGCCAGTGTTAAGTGGTTTGAGTAAACTAACTATTTCATGTTTTATTTTTCGGAAAAGCTGGATTAAGTATGAAGGAACCTAAGTCTCTAACAAGCTGTGTGCACGTGCAGGTGTAGGTATACAGGAAATAGCATGTTATGACATAAATAGAATGAGAAAACACCAGTCTTTGAAATTGGCCAACTAGACTATAAAGTTTCTCATCTTTGGATGCTTTTCAAATTGTTATTGCATGGATATGAGGCTTTGGAGATAGTTTCAAGCAAGTTTCATCAGCCTCTACACTGGACAAAAAAGTTTTCTCCCTCAAAGAAATCCACAATTAGCTCATACCTTCAAGGCAAAACTTCTGCATCTGCACATTCTCCAGATGCATTATTTCAATGGACCCAGCTTTATTCCTTGGAGAAATAGCTGGTGGAATACAACTGGGCTTGTGTAACCTCTGCGCTTAAACACAAACATTTAACTCCCAAATCAAGAAAAGCTGAAGGCTGCTCTAAGAAAAATGGAATAATTAAGCAAAACTGCAAATGTGGGCTTCTTTTGCATAATATATTCTGTTTCGGCACCAGAGGTGTTATTCCACACCACTGGAAATCCCACTTAAGGTCTGTTCTAAGATTTTATTAGGCTTCATAACCTGTCTTCGCTGCCATACAAGTTAGAAACTTGCTTTAAAAAAAAAACCCACAAGACTGTTAAGATCTGTATTCAACATCACATTTGAGGACTGAGGAACAGGCATTGCCTTGAATATTATTCAATATGACTGCTGGCATTTAGGACCCGAGACTCCCTCCAATTCAACCCAGCAATTACTTCCCCATTTAACCCCATGTCATTTAAAGATGATAAAAATAAAGCAAAAATCAATCAAACAAAAAAGCATTATGTTTTTCCAACCCAAATTTTTGTTTGTGTGATTTTTCTTTTCTTTTTTGTGAACAGACCCGTACAAAGATTTTTCTTCTTAATTAAAAAAAAATTATACATATTTTTATATATATATATATTCTGTATATTAGCTTAAATTGGAGCTGAGTTCTCCATGCGCCGGCCTCTGAACCTTCAGATGGTACATCCAACATGCACCCAACCCATCATGTAACATTTCCCACGGCGTCTTGAATGAGGTAAGAGGTAAAGGGTTTTTTTCCAACGGAAACCATGTGACAAGAGAGAAAGAACAAGGGAAGGGGGGAATAAAAATATACCCCTCTCCGGAATAACATATTACAGTTGCAGAAAAAGAAAAAGGTCTGGCTATTAAGTTGACAAGAAATGGATCTAACACAGATAAAGCAATTTAGAAGAGATAGAGAAGTCTGATCTATTTAACAGTGTTAAGTGCCAAAATACTTGCATTAAGGTGATCACAGTCTGGCTTGCATTAAAGGTGAAACAGACAGGAAGAAAGCGGGAAGCTGGTGGTTGTTATCTTGTTTTTGTTTTTTCTTTAGAAATACCTCCTCCAAGGGCAAATCTTTAGAGTGGGGATTCGTAACTGGATGTTCTATGTCAAATATGGCCCTAGATACCAATTGCTCCACCTTCCCCAAGCGTCAGCCAAGAGGCAAAAATACAGGATTAAAGGCAGGGCTGGTGGCTATTGAAATGAGGCTGTTAGGCCTGGTCGACCACAATTTACTATTCCCCTTCTCCAAATGATGTTCCCACAAAGCTAACTGCTGGCCAGAACTTCAGAGGTTCTATTTTCCAACAACCAGTTACAACCACATAAGTACAACACTAAATAATGAGGGGAAAAAAGCTGAAATCAAATGGAAACAATATCTAATTTGAAAACTTGAGGTGTTTTTCTCTTGCCAGCTTGGCCAATTCAGTTTTACAAATGTGAGTAGCCTGCCTCCAAGTTCCCAACTGGATCAGTTCTGATACAGATCATGCAGCTTGAGACTTGGGGCATTGCTCTGCCCATGACAGTTCAAGTTAGGCAGAATGACCCTCCTTCTGTGCGAGGAAGTGCATTTGAGTATTATTTCATTCATCTAGTGCCCCTCTGAAAGGGAAAATTAGACTTAATCAGGCCAGGATAAAACCTTTCTAACAGGCTTCTGCCTTATTAACAGAAATCTCTGCCTTTTCTTCCCATGTGCACAGACACAACTGGGATTACAAAAGGGCCAGTAACGTACAAGTGCAGGGGACATGGAATGCTGTAGGAGAAAGAGAAGTTATTATGCAGAGCCCACAACCTCTTAATACAGAAAGGCCGTACAATCCTGGGTTGGAAAGGGTGTGCCATGTCCCCTTGAATTTCACTGTCTTTGTGTTTTCTGTATTGCTAAGTGCCGTTCCCCCCACCCACCCCGCCAAAATAAGAAAGAATTGAAACCTAACTTTGATTCTCTTGGAGCACTGAAGAGTTAGGATCTCTCCTCGTTTCTTCCCCAGAGAGAAGGGCATTGAAGGGAGGGTGCAGCAGGGCAGCAAGAATACTAGTGCAGAAAGAAGTGTACCGCCACGAGGCGTGGGAAAGCGTGTGCAAAGAATTAGCAAAGGCCGTTTCAAAGCCCAGTGGGAACATTGCATGCAGCCTTTCAGCTGGGAGGGGGCAGCAGGTGTGGGTGGGAATCTGTCAAATCCACTCACCTTGCTGAATATGGAGGTAGATTGGCTGAAGCTTTGGGGAGGGAAGAGGGCACAACGGCAAGGAGGAAGGCTGACGAATATACCTCTCAACACTGGAACGCAAAGCGGGCACCTCTTAAGAGGCAAGCCCCGCAGTGCCATTCGAAGCAATATAAAATAGATCTTTCTTTTCTTTTCTTTTATTCACTCACCTGTTTCCCCCATTAAGGGAGGAGCTGAGGGGAAGGGTTTTCATCTCACTCAAAGTGCATTTGTCCTTCACACGTGGACCTTCAGCCTCAATTTTAGGTTTATTATTTTTTTGCCAAAACATCTGTGACCTTCCTCCTCCCACCTGCCCCTAATAATTTAATAGGATTTCTCTTTTCCTCTCTCTCGGTTCCATTTCTTTCTTTCTTTTACAAAAAAAAGTGCATTTTTGATTTTAGCCTCCCAGGGAGGATAACTAAATGCTAAGGTTCTTAAAGAAAAAAACAATCAAACACACTCTGACGTTTCCTGGGACCGTTATGTGCAAAAGAATATATATATATATTTATATGTATATATATTTATATATATTGGTAATCAAGTCCGTTTAAACGAGAGAGGTTTGATCAGGGCTCAAGAGGTGCCAATTGCTTCCAGTGTTGGGGGGGGAGGGCAGAAAACTTTTATTTAAAGAAGGAGAGAAAGGCAAAGCATTTTGGAGTGGGGGGGGGAGAGAATAATATATGGATTGTTTTTCTCTTTTTTATGTTAAAGTTTAAGACAGACATTTCACCCTGGAAAGATGACTTTGGACAACAGGGGACATAACAAGGGGGTAGGTGGGAATTGTATTGTCCACTTATTATTATTTTTTAAAGAAACAAAAAATCTGCCTAGACAAAGAATGTGTTGGCTACTGCACATTTCTACCTCATAACCCAGATTTTGTATAGCTTCGACTTTTTTCATGGCCCACCCCCTACCAAGGATGCCCTTGCTTCCCCTAACCAGGGGATTCATTGATGCTGACGTGCAATATTTAGAAAACCAAAACAAAAAAAAATGAAAAGAAAAAAATGAAAACAACAAAACAGAACAAAACAATGAAAATCTGTTGTGTCCGAGGTGATGAGGTGAGGGTCTTGTGACCCAAGTCCAGACATCGCCCCAGCCCCAAATTGCCCCATGTCCCCAATTCGCCCACGCCACCCTGTTTGCCCCCCTCCATCCCTCCTCACGCCCTAAACTTCCTGATCCTCAAAGACCTCGAGGAAGAGTGGGGGGAAGAGCTCTGTGGGGCATTCCACCTTCATGTGCAGGAAGCGGCTGGCGTGGCAAGCCCCAATCATGCGCAGGTCGGTCACCTTCATGAGGAGCTTGGGCCAGAAGTGGGGAATGTTGTGTTTGCGATAATTGATGTAGTGTTCAAATGCCAGCAGATAGGTCTCTTGGCATTTTTCAATCTTATCAACGCAAATTAGCCCACTGCGGTCTGCAAAATAAATGGAAAAGAGGATACATGTCAGGCAGACTAAAGCTGCATGTGTAAATTTGTCTCTCTGCAAACAACCAAGTTGCCCCAATCCCAAGTTACCTTTCTGACTCACTAAATCTACTGAACTCTCATTGCTCAGATTAGAATTAATTCTGCGTCCTCCATATGGGCAAAACACAGAACCTGAAGTTCAGCTCCTTAGTTTTTCTGCTCCCCGCCCCCAAGAAGGACTCCATTGAGAGCATCCACAAATATGCTTGCAGGAAGAGACAAAGACTTTATGAGAGAGGATAAGAACTTTGTCAAGGTCTGTAGGAACTGGCCTGACTGGTTACCTTGGACCCAAAGGATGAAAGTTCTCTATTCCTATTCTAGCGTTTTAGACATACAGAACCTCTATGTGTATGAAGAGGCTCTAGAGATTAAAAGTGGCCCTTGCCCACTGCTTACAGCTATCTTATGATGATCTTCAGAAAAAGAATACAGATGTCCTCACTTAATGACCATTATTGGGACTGCACCTCTGTCACTAAGCAACACTTGATAGAATTGCTTTTTGACAGTCATAATATAACTGAGAATGAATATACTTCACTTAGGCATTTTGACAAATCTGAAGTTGCACATTGCCCATCCTTGATCTCAGGGAAAGGCTGTAGCTAAGATGCTAGCCCACAAGCAGTCAAAAGTTCAGGTTCTTCTTTCTCACAAAGTACAATTTTAATCTGAAGTCTTGCAAAGCTATTGATAATTGACAGGGATAATACTGAGCTACATGCAGCCTTGGTCTGACTCACTTATGTTTGAATAATGCCAATCACATAAGGTGCACACTGAGAGCATAGTCCACCCTCCACACATACCTGAGGACATGAGCAGCACAGCCTGGAGTAGTGCCACTTCAGTGTCATCCAGGCTGAAGGCAGAGAGGGATTTTCCCAGATCAAAGATGGCATCTGATACTACGCCCAAGCCACCGTTCTTCAGCTGCTCCCGCTTGACGGCCATTTCACCACTGAGTGTCAGGGTTTCGCTTTCAGGGTCATAACGCACAGCTGCCCGCAGTGACATAATCTCCATGCAACAGCCCTTCAAAAGGATGATCTGGTCCTCACAAGGCAGCTAAAGACAGAGAGAAGCATGATTATCTTGGCCCCAGGAGTGCTTGGCTTTCTAAGATAGTCTCACTGGAGCAAAAGAAGACCTTACTCTACCTCCCAGAGAAAAAAGGTATTTTTGCTTTCCAGGGCAGAAAATTGGTGCAATAAACAGAGACAAGGAGTGATTATGCTGTCAATAGTGGGGCCCAGAAGTAGCAAGAACATACATTCTCTGGGTCAAATTAGCAGGAAATCAAGAGCCAGAAGTTAGTAGTGGTAGGAAATGTGATGCTTCTTTTGAAAGTCACTTATTTGCAGGAAATGCTCTTCTTTTAGCAGCTGGCTCTGTTCACCAGGAAGCCCACTGAAATTTGCTGCCCTCAGCTAGTTAGAAATGCTCTGATCATCTACAAATAACAAGTTACTGCATGATAATTCTCCTACAATTTTCGGCCTGAGACAATGTTCCTTCCCTCCTGCATTTATGACCAAGTCCTTGCTTTCCAATTTTGGCTTATTTATCCACCCTGAACGTTTTGCAGACCTAACAAAATAATTTGTGATAATTAATTCATCAATCTAAAGCCGTCATGTACGAAATATCAAAGAGGATACTTTACACTGTTAACATTAATGCTGTATAATATAATGTGCTGAGTTTTCACAGCACATTAAAATAGAGTAAAATGATGTTGGTAGTTCAGGATGTTCTGGATTCCTGCCTTTCTTTCAGCATGCTGTATAAACCCATCCACTCAATTTCCCTAAATTAAATAGAATTAGAAGAAGAAAACAGAAAATTATTTTCTGAAAGTAAAATAAATGAGGCCCAACTACTTTCATTACTTAAGGGAAGGATTTGGTATAGATTTACCTGATGTTCTCCGCTTGTACAACCCACAGCCTTACCGTCTCCAGGCTAAACTACTGCAATGCAGTAGTCCTCATTAATCATCCATTTGCTCAGTAGCTGTTCAGATTTATGATGATGTTGAATGAAGGGACTTTCAACTGGTCCTTGAAATTCTGATTAATTCAGACCTCCCACATCATGTGAACAAAATTTGGGCCAACTCAGTCTTACCTGCATTTAGTCTTTGGCAACCTGCATTACCCGCCAGGTAACGCTAGCGGTTCCCTGCTCCCATGCCTGCCATACTATATGCCTCTACCATAGCGGCTGCAGTGTTCTTTTTTTTTGCACTCTCCATTTGTGTGTCAATCAAGGCCTCCATTTCATGCTTTGTTCAGGGCCTTTTTTTTTTTTAAACAAAAGACGCCTGTTACATTAAAGAAAACCTCAGTTGCACCAGTGAGAAAGAATAACTTTTCTAGGTGGAGCTTTCTCTCATACCCTGGGATTCTTCTGCAAAACCACGCCCTGGGGAAGGCACAGTGGAGGCTCTGGACGGGGTGAAGAGAAGTTTCGGCTACACTAAGATGAAAAAAGGCAGTGTGAAAGGGGTTCCGTCTGGTAAATAGTGTGCACAGTGTAGTTGGTGGGGTGGTGGTGGGCAGGGCTGAACAACAGCAGTAGCTGTCAGCAGTGGGTAGATAGGTGGCAAAAAGGGCAGAGATGGAGGGGAGATAGGTAAAAGGGAGGAGTTAAAGAGGAGGCAGGCTCTTACTTAACCATGGCATTGGCCTGGGTCCTCAACTAACAACTGGCAGAATTTAGTTAACAGCAATCAGGATGCTGAGATTGCTGTCACTAAGGAATGCATTCATGAGATGTCATGCTTTAGAACTGCATTGCCTAGTGATGGAAATTCTGGTCCCAATTACTGTAGTTAATGAAGAACTATCTTTAGGCTTTAGCTGAGGATGCCTTTGAAAGCTACTCAGGAACTGCCATAGGTGTAAAATACTATGAACACTTGGTTTGTGGTAGGCAAGCATAGGCTATAGCAGTGATTTTGTGGCACGGCCTTGGCTGCCAGTGAGTTTCCAGGTATTATTCGAAGTGCTGATTTTAAGTTGTAAAGCCATTTATTATGCTTTGGCTTCCCGATGCTTTCAGGAAACTCTGAAATGTCGTTAAGCGGCCAGTCATAAATTGAGGACCACATATTTATATGTCTTCCTAACAATCAGCCAAAATGGTTCTAATTTTGATAAAAGAAGAATGTAAGGAGAAATTCTATGGAAGTTCAAAACTTCACAACCAGATAATCAAATTCCTCCACTCTCTCTTTGCTCATCATCCTTTGCTTACCTCTGAAAACATGGGCAGTTTTTTGGCAAAATCCACCACACGGGTGATGGCAGGGGTGATGATCTTCGTAAACTCACTGAATGCCTCCAAGTCTACTTTGTCCCCATCAGGCATGGAAGCCATTGGTGACTGACCAATATCTTCAGGCTACGAGTGGGAAAAATAAGTAGAAAACTAACTCAGGAGACCCCATACAACTAGAAATTTATCACCTAACACTGGAAATATAACTGTTATCTGTCAATATCTTTTCCTTGTCTCAACTTTCTTATAAGATGATCTCTTTTATGTTACAATATCCTTTCTACAATTAGCATCAAAATATTATCCTATTAAATACTTTAATAAACATTTTAATTATTATTTGAACATATTTTATTTAAAAATCTTTAAAACCATTAGAAGCAATTTAAATGTTTTAGTTTTAAATTGTTTTAAATTTATCCTATTTTTATTTAGTTTTAAGTTAAAGTTTTAGCAAATATTACTCTGCTAACACACTGTGCAAATGTAAGAGTTACATTGCTAAAAATAAAAGTATCAGTCCCTCAAGGCTGGGAAGATCAGAATCCATGGTTCTACTCCAATGCACTAGTTTGAGAATGACACCAGTCTGCCTTTGGCTGTTCTGGATCTGAGTGCTTTTGAAAAAGGGATACAGCCTTGGAGAACCTTCAACTGCTTTCCAATGAAAATGTGAGAAGTTCTCCACACTCCATTTCCCAGTCATTTAGTGTACTTGGGAAGACTGTGCTCAAACCATGTGCTGATCAGGTTCAGAAGTCCCCACCTCTTGGTTTTGAATTTATTTCTTATATGCAAGCAGTTCAAGAATAGGGCCCTGTTTAGTTTCATCACGTGAACTAAACAGTAATGCTTCTTAATCCATTTTTAGACTGAATTTCAGGGCCACTTCCTATGTTCAGTAAGGATTTGTTGCATACTATAAAGGCTGAGGGAACAGACAGAACAATCTTAACCCCTCAGTCAGATAGCCTATTTCCTCTCCCCACCCCCAAGCCTCACTTTCTTTGACCTCCATGTCCTGACCTGCCCTGACATTAATTGGTTATGGCCAGCAGAGGGCACCCCAAGCCAGCAATTCCTCTCTGCTTAGAAATAGGGGAGGAGAGAGGGGTGGCATAGAGGGGTTTCCATTCCATCTGTCCTTGATCAAAGCTGAGAGGTCACAGCTGTGTCCATTTGCTCAAGCAAATTAACCCTTCAAAGGTACCTCTGCACTACTAAATCTGCTAAATCAGTATTTTCTAAAATCAGCAACTTTAAGATGTGTAGATTTCAGCTTTCAGAATTCCCCAGCCAATCCAAGACTTGGGAATTCTGGGAGTGAAGATCATACACTTAAAGTTTGCCAAGGCTGAGAAACACTATGCTAAATTATGGCAGTGTAACTAATCTTAATAAAAATGGTTGAATTCTTGGCATTATCATCAAGTTTATTCTGACTGAGCTTAGTATAATTTTTAACATTAGTTGGAGAGGCAAGAGATCTGTACATTTTCAAAAGTAAAACTGCAAATAATTTTAAATGCATATTGTTGTTTTTTCAAGGGCTGGGCATATGTTTTTATCAACTGTACTGAAATAAAATAATATATTAGCTAGACAATTATATATTAGCTAGACAATTTATGTATGAGCATGAATGAAAAAGAGATTTTAAAAATTACACTCTGTATTTCCAGTCTGAAATTCATTCAAATTCAAATGATTAATAAATGGAATGGCAAATTAAATCATTGGATGAGTTAAGACAGGATAATGTACTCCAGTCCTGGTTCTTATATTGTCAGTTGGTTGAGAGATGGCATATAGACCAAAAATTGGGTTTAACTTTAGAAGATGTGAACTTGATAAAACAGATTAAAGATCAAAGTAGAGCCCATATTAGGAGAATATATAGTGTTTTGATAGAATTTGATT